TCCACAGGTAAGATGTGGCGGCAGCGGGCGGTGGTTCAGGCTCTCAGGGCGACGGTCGGCCCTGCCCCTCTCAGATGGAGCAGTGGAAGCCCTGCCCGGTGCGCCCTGCTACCGCTGGCAGTACAGCCCCTGGTCCGAGTGTCGGGTGGAGGTACGTCAATGAATCATTACATTACACAATAATCCAGTGACATTAATTATTAACGATCACATCGACCACTGTCAGCCACAAGAAATTGCAGCTTTGACAGGTCCCGCCTCCGCGAGATCAATACACACCAGAGTTTGAGCCAAAGTGGATTTCAGAAGACAGAAATCTCAGCACCTTGCAAAAAAAATAATAATAATGGACTCTTTAGTATTGATGAACAGCCCTATCAAATCCCTGTGCGTGCAGTTATTCTGTGAGATGGACACTAAAAATCAATCTAATGCACTTGTAATGCTGATCCATTACAGTAAACCGAGACCCTTGCCAAGATATTTGGCAGCAGTTACCCTTCGTTTTGCATCGTGAGCCACCAGGTCAGAATATTAAAGTAGTCTGGTGCATCGTGTAATGACATAAAACAAAACTTCTCAGGCGTCTGCGTAGTTTTATGGGCACACAGAGAGCGGTGTGTCACGTCTAGTTATTCATTTAAGTCCTTTATTTCTCTAAAAGAAGTCCGTCGACCGTCCTATCATCTCAGTCCTTCTTCAAAAGGATGACGAGAGAAAGAGAGAGAGTAAGGTTACCGCCGATCCAGTCATCTCACCTCCGCTCTCCTCGTTGAGATATCCAGATCAGTTGTCTGCAGGTCTTTTCTGATAGTCCTGTTTGATTTGGAAACTTCAGGTTTCACCATGGTAACAGCAAGTACACAGAAATAGCCCGGGTACAACGCTCTCTGAGCAGATAGAAATAAAACAGAAGATGAAACCAGTGGTGTGTGTGTGTGTGTGTGCGTGTGCGTGTGCGTGTGCGTGTGCGTGTGCGCGTGTGCGTGTGCGTGTGTGTTTACAGTGCAGCCAAAAAAACTTGAGTTGTTTTTCATAAAGAACGAAGTCGATACAAATTGAATTTGCTCAAGTCGTCTGTGAGTTAACCTCCAGATGATCCTGAGGTGTTTCTCCTGCTCCTCCTTCTCCTTCTTCTGCTTTTCAATCTTCATCTCCTCCTCCAGCTCCTTCTTCTCCTTCTTTCCTTCTTCTTCTTAGTCCTCCTCCTCCTCCTCATTCTTCTAATTTTCCTTCTACCCCCTCTACCTCCTCCTCTTTCTTATTCCCCATCTTTCCCTTTTCCCGCCTCCTCCATCTCTGTCTCCTCCTCTTGTATTTCACCTTCTACCCCTCATCCTCCCCCAGTTTATCCCTCCTCTTCTGCTTCTTTTTTCCTCCTCCTCCCCATTCTCATCCTCCTCCTCATTGTTCCTCCTCTTCTTCTCCTTTTTCCCTCCTCCTCTGTCTCCTCTTCTTCCTCCTCATTCTTTTATTTCTTCTCCTTTTTTCCTCATATTACCCATCCTCCTCCTCCTCCTCCTCTTCCTCCTCCTATCTCTCCTATCCCTTCTCCCTCTCCTTCTCCTGTAAAAACATGGTGAAGTGTATTTTGCACATTATGTCACCTTAAACATCTGTGTTGTCTGTGTGTGTTCTAAAAAGAGAGACGAGAATCTCACAGCAACAAAACGTTCTTTATTTTACACAAACACAGATTTCACTTCTTCAGCAATCACATCAATTACGTCTTTTTTTCCTGAAAACTAAACTTTAAGTATGCCAAGACGAGGAGAAACAACGAGCCTCTTGGTGCAGATCTTAATAATGTGTGAATCATCACGGCTCGAGCTGCAGTTTTAAACCTCTCTCTGTTCTGATGAAGCCTCAAACGTGTTGTTTACATCGCATCCACTCTGATCTGTGCTGATTCAATAATGGAAGTCATCAGGACGTATTGACCGTTATCTTTCACTGCAGCTTTAAAAAGCACGCATTAATAACATCATTATTGCAGTTCCGCACTATTTATCCTAGTTAGGAAAATAATCCTCATATAAGAGCTTGAACAGCTTCAGGTTTTTATTTTAACATCATTAACTCAGTTTTCAATTTAATCCAGCCACACTGTTACTATAATTTTCCCACTTTTTAACTACCTCCATGGCTGTAGTCTCACTGTGATAACTCATCCTCCTCCTCCTCCTCCTCCTCTTCCTGTTTCTTCTTCCTCTTCTGTGGTGTTCCCGTGCTGTCAGAGTGTGGTGTGCGGGCACGGCATGCGCTACAGGAACCTGTCCTGCTTCGTGTCCGACGGCTCCCGTGAAGGCGACGGTTTGGTGGACGAGGAGCTGTGCAGCAGCCTGGAGCTCGCCGTCGACGGAGACAAGCAGATCACACTGAAAGAGGCCTGCACGCTTCCCTGCCCAGGTAACACGGCTGCTCACATTCTGGTTATTTTGAGCTTCCGGCGCTGCAAGAGCAAAAACCTTCAAAGTCATGTCCAAACACAGGATGCAGTGCTTCTGGGGTTATGGGATATTATTACCTGAGTTCCTGAGTCGCTGTCATCGCTCTGAGGCGGTTTGTTTGTTTACCTCAGCTGCAGCGTTAGAGGCATCATGTCGGGGGTTAGATGATAATCGTAATGATATTCAGCACTTTACTAAACTAAGGGCTTCACACAAATACAACAAAGTGCATTTAGCTGTAAAGAAAGCCAACAAGACAATAAGTCGTAAAAACATGTCAAATAAAACAAGTGAAATCTATAAAACCATGGAGGACGAATCACAGAGGACGGTCAAAAAACCCAGGAGGTGAATTCAGGAAAAGATTTGGAAGAGGTTACTCAGTCTGCTGATCTGATTTCAGGGGGGCAGCTCGATCCAGACCCTTAACTGTAAAGATTTAGTCACCCCGAGTTTCCAGCTGCGCTTCAGGAAGTCTGTCCCCTGTACTTGATGTCCTTCTAATTCTTAACAAACAATAACTTGACGGTATATCCCTACATTTTGCAAAAGCATCAATTTGGGGCCATTGGGGCTATTGTCAAACACTTTTATCGTCTGCTTAGCTGTTAGCTTAGCTTTTTCTTTTGAAGTCACATTTGATCACATGGATTTCTGTGAGATCTCGCGTCTATGGAATCGTTTTTTTTACAATCGGCCGGTGTGTGGTCTCGTTGTCTGGTCAAGTCATCTAGTGTTTAGATTAGGAGCATTATACAGTAAAAAATCAGTTGAAACTGTCACTATGACTGGTCTCCCACATTGTCCATCCTTTGGCCAGCTTAAGCTAATTTCTCCATATCCATACATCATCTTTATTGACAGAATCAGGAGTCCATTGTAAACGGATAAAAACTAACGTGTTAACAACGTAAAGAAGGTAAAAAGACAAACATACACCACCAATACTATACAAGACAGCTGTACCAGTGTCTCCACTGGGACGACTGGTATCACACAGAACTATGACTGGGATTTGTCAGCAGCTACAAAGGAGTTCTGAGAATCCTTCGATGGGCAGATACATCTGTACATCAAGCTTCTCTCATGAGAGCCTTACATGTATATAATTTATATATATGCGAGTGTGTGTGTGTCTGTGTGTGTGTCTGCGTGTGTGTTTGACCATATTTTCATATTTCTAAAATAATGAGTGTCGGATGTCCCCCTTGAATCTGACTCGATTGTTTTCTTCTTCTTCTGAAGTGTGTGAAGAATCAACATTTGAGAATTTGTAGCCTCTCTGCAGCGACATCAATAATTAAAAAACTGTTTCCTGTCGTTTTCTCTCAGACCCAGCATCAACGGTCGAGCATGCCAACACTAGTGAGACATTTAACTTTGTTTCTCTGAACGATTCCCGAAGCTGCAAACTTCTTGACTCCTTAGCAGAGAATACTGAGCAGTGATTCAACTAATTCAAATAATCTGTATCGGCATTATTCGTTTTGTGTTGGTTCAGTTTATTTGCAGTCAAATTTCTGACTCTTGAAGCAGTTCTTCAAAATGCATTGGTTAATCTTTACTCTCCGAGTCTAAAGGTTAATGTAGAACTGAATGGAGAGATTCTCAGGTCAGTAAAGCCACGACCATCTGGGTGTCAGACAGATTTTAAAGTCTGATATTTATCGGAGCTGCGGTTTGTTTGGAGGTCTCAACAAAGAGCTGCTCTCAGGTTCAACCAGCAGAACACAGGAGTCACTCTGCACCGCACATATCAACACTTTCCTGCAGTTTGATTTGTATCACAAGGCAGCCACTAAAAATACTTTTGTAACAGGGCAGATTTGATTATCTCTAAGCAGCAGCACTCAGTGTCTATCATGACCTCTAGATTCAGAGCCTACCTGAAGGCAGAATAATGGACTACATTACGGCAGATTGTGTAAACTGTTTTATGCGAGGTACATTTGCTGGTAGGAGCTGTATTTCATTGCCTGTAGGCACTACAGAGAGCCTTCCGCTCTCCTCTGCAAAGGTCTCAATTTTACTCTACATGCACTTTTTAGTCTCCCAGGTTCCCACGGTTTTCCTCTTTTTTAACTTGATGTCCGTCCACTCGCTATAGCCGTGTTTCAGCTGGGCTGTAATTCCACATGCAGAGTGTTAAAAAACACACCAGAGCAGTGTTCCCTCACAGGCCTCCCACCCGTGAAAGCTGCTCGTCGTGCTTGGGGAAAGTGCTTGGCCGAGCCGGAGGCGCCGCTGTCAAGAACTATTTTTTGTTTTATGTGGTGGACACGAGCTATTCAGGACCACCTGCTCTCACCGCGGAAAATAACAGAGATGGCCGATCTGAAACGAAAGCTGTGACCTCTTAAATTAAATGTATTCCGCGTGTGCAGTGAAGACACATACAGCCGACGTGATTAAATCGGCACAGATGAAATAAAGATGAAGAGAAACAAGGACGCAATCAATAATCTGTGTGGGCGAGATAACGAAACCCTGAGGGCTAATGTTAAAAAAAAAGACAAAACACTGAGCTTACAAACCTCCCTGAATATCAGTCTGGTGTTCTGAACACGACAATAACATGTTTAATTTATGCATTTATTCACCTCACATGTGAATGGAGAGGTTGACTGAGAGGAGAAAAGTACTGAAGTGTTTTCTATACGCTGATTATCCGTGTGGTTCGTTTAAAATGAAACGCATTTGAATGAAAGCAAAGGCGGTTAATATGGATAATTTCAAACATGAAGGCAATGTAACCTGATTTACATTTTAAAGAAAAGACAAATCAAAGATCCAGCAGGTTACAATTAACCCACTTGTTCAATGTGACAAAACCAAAACTGGCTTCTTAGCGTTCAATAAAAAAAAAAAAAAATTCTAATTTGAAAGCTATGAGAGAAAATGTTTTGAGGAGGTGATTTTTAAATGTTGAATTGTTTTGAGTCGAGTGTAAACGTCCTCAGATCCAATATGCTAACAGCTCACTAACATGCACAAACAGGACCATATAAATGGTAAATGGACTTGAGCTTATAAAGCGCTTTTCTAGCGTTCCGACTACTCAAAGCACTTTTACACCACATGTCACACCTACAGATTCACACCCTTTCACACACTGATGGTAGTGGTCGCTATGTAGCATCATCCATCAGAAGTATCTAATCCCATTCATACACCGCCACTGAAGTAGTGGGAGCAATTCAGGGTAAAGTGTCTTGTCTAAGGACACATCACAGCTGGGGATTGAACCCTTGACCTTCCGATTGAGAGGCGACGACTCTAACAAATGAGCCACAGCCGCCCACTGTGGACTTCCTATGAGCCTATGGAGAGATGTCAGAGTGACGAGGCTGCACATGAAAAAGCTTGTGAACAGTTCTGGGTTCAGTGTCTTCCTCAAAGGTGACTCAGCAGTTTTAAGGAAGTGAGCTGGCAGCTCTTCAGCTACCAGACCAATTTCTGGACTTAGTCCTCACCGTGACTTGACCCGACGACCCTCAGGCGACCCTAATTTCCAACCCAAGTCCCTGAAGACTGAGCAACTGCTGCTTCTATTGACAGACCTTAAAATAAACTATCTAGTAAGCATGTTGTCATAATTGAATTTAATATGTACAGATGAGATCATTTTGACAACTTTAGATCTGACAGAGCATCAAGCCCCCCCCCCCAAAAAAAATAAATCTTACTGAAAACGACTTTTGTGTCCTGACCTACCAGTTGAGAACCAATGATCTAAAAGATTAAGATGTCATGAATGACGTCATGCTCTAACATGTGAAGAAATCAAAAGATCTGACTTCCAGCTTTTTATTACACTGCATATAAAAAGTGATACTTCATTAGAATAACTTTTTGGTGGGGCGCTGGTGATGCAGTGGTTATTGCGCGCGCCCCATGTATGGAGGCTGTGGTCCTCCAAGCGGGCGGCCCGGGTTCAAATCCAGCCTGTGGCCCCTTTCCCGCATGTCATTCCCTACTCTCTCTCTCCTTGATTTCTCACTCTATCCACTGTCTTATCTCTCCATTCTAATCTCCCCCAAAAAAATCTTAAATTGATTAATTGATTGATCTGCAGATTATTAATAAAATATATTTTATAAACTGTCACGTAATTATCAGAAAAGATTATCTCTTTAGCAGAGCTTAAAGTGACGCCTTCAACTCGTGTTAGTTCAACATTTGACAAACCGAAGACCGTAAAAGATTTTCCTGATCTGACAAATATTCATCACTTATAATATGAATCAGTTTTCATGCGCGGCTGTTAGGAGAACCCTTGTAAACCTTCACCATGTGCCATGCGGTCGACGCCTCCTCCCAAATCGCTCGTGCCATGTGTGCACACATTTTCAGCATGAGTAGCCTCTGCGGGTAACAAACCCTCAAAGCTGGCAGCGTCGGTGCATGATCGACCTGCACAGGAGGACTTTCTTAGTTTCGGTGACTGATTAGGTCTCGGCCACCGTCTTTATGCTGAGCTGGACATCTGCTGTGAGCTACAAGACGAACGACCCTCCAGAGCAAAACCTGTGAAATATTATCCCGCACACAGATGTAGAGTGTCATTTCATTAAGTGAGTAAGTGGTTTATCGCCGTCCGGTCAGCATAACACCAAACCCAGCTGGCAAGATAGAGTCTAATTGAACTTCTACTTTCTCCCTATAAAATAAATGCCTTGAAACCAGAAGCATGTCAGACTCTCCGTTCACCGCCTGCCAGGTGTCTCCTCTCTGCGTCCTTCATGCTCGTCTTCACACAGCGACTCAGAAACGTCCCTCTCTCCACACTCAGGAGAGCACTGAGCTCGCTGCGTTTGATGGACAGCTTCCAGCATATTCAAGTCTCAACCTGCAACGTGTCCCTACAAGTACACACGTGTGTCATTGAATAATTTATCATGATCGATTAATCTCATTGTTAAAGGAAGAATGTGTGACTTTTTGATGCAGTAGATGTCG